TCCTGCTTAGGACCACTAGAAACAATAGTAAGCGCGATGGTTTAGCCAAACAGCCCACTGGACAAAGCTTGGTTGTGGTTCGCGTGACTCGTCACAAGGAGGGATGGGTGAAACACGCGAACTCTGCAACATCATGCGTCGTATCCAACGGATTGATGGTTCACGATGGTTTAGAGTAGCCCTAACGAGATCCAGCCTGAGGAAAAGTAATTTCCAGTAATTTCCACATTTCTTAAAGACGAGTACGAATTTCAAGAGTTGCGCTTGAAAAAAATGGACGGCTTAGGGTCAGAGCAAGATGAGAGTCCTCGCTTTCCCGCCCCTCAACGGCAGTCCCTCGGGTCAGTGAGCGACCCCACGCCGCTTCTTCCGCTGCAAGGGAGTCCCTTCCGCACCCCGGATCCCCCGCGCACGGCACTGCTGCCGGCGAGCGTCGCTCGTTTCGCTTCCCCGGGCCAGGGCCCTCGTGTGTATTCCGGAAACACTTCCGTCGCTATCCCCGCGTCTAGCAGCAGCAGCAGCGGCGGCACCGGCAGCAGCGCGCAGAGCCGGCCGTCTGGGCTCAGGCTCGCGCGGCTGGCTGCAGAGAGCGGCGGCGGTGCTACAGGCGGTGCTACAGCTACAGGTCATGGCGGTGCTAGTAGCACAGGTGGCGGCGGCGGTCGCCGCGAGCAGCGCCGCAAACAGCGGCGGATATTACCCAGCGAGGATGAGGTGAAAGCCGCTGCTGCTGGGCATCTGGCTGGCACCGCCGCCTTTCACAGATTCTTTGGCGGCAATGGCGCAGCAGGTGCGGAAGGACCGGGCCCAGCGTTTGGAGGAGGAGGGGGAGGCGGAGGCGGGGAAGGAGGAGGTGTGGGAGGAGCAGGAGGAGTTTTCTTGGGAGGATCTCCTACAAATCTGGCTCTGAGACATGGTAGTGAGTTGCACTCCCAGTTGGCCCACCTGCTGCAGCAAAATGCCGCTGCTGTGGCGGCTGCGGCACCACTGACGGCAGCAGGGAACCCACAAGGAGTGGCTTCTGGGGGAAACCCACCAACCGCCGGGCAAGGGGCGGAGGAGGGAGGGCGGATAGAGGCCGGGATGCTGGTAGGGGAGATGGAAAAAGGACTGCTCTGGAGCATGGGAGGAGGGATGGCAGGAGGGATGGGAGGAGGGTTGGACGGAGGGTTGGGAGGAGGGCTGGGAGGGGGGTTGGGAGGAGGGTTGGGAGGAGGGTTGGAAGGAGGGTTGGGAGGAGGGATGGGCTTAGAGATGGGTGAGGGAATAGACGGGGCGCAGGGAATGAGTGGGACCCTGCTGGGGCAGGGGATGACGCCACATTCACTGAACCCAGCGAGCCCTACCACTCCTATTGACACATCCTCCAGCTTGCTCCGCGCCGCCCCTGGATTCTGCATGGCCGGTCCGCTACAGCCGCTGGCCGGCGGAGTGTCAGGCGCAGTGTCAGGCGGAGTGGGCGGCGCAGGCGATCTGGGCGGTGCAGTGTCCCCCGGATTGCTGTACGAGTGCAGGTTCTGCGGCAAGGGATTCGCCCAGTCCCAGGCCCTTGGGGGGCATATGAACACCCACCGCCGAGGTTGGTGGGGGAAGGGCAAGGGAAAGGGAAGGGGAAGGGGAATGGGAAGGGGAAGGGGAAGGGGAAGGGGAATGGGAAGGGGAAGGGGAAGGGGAAGGGGAAGGGGAAGAAAGTGGGAGGGGCGTGGGGCGTGTGGTGGGGGGTTGGAGTTGCTTGACATATGCTTATTCAATCTGGATTATGAAGTGACCTTTCGAAAATTGAACTTAGGGTGTGGACTTTCTCTTTTTTTTTTTTTTTTTTGTTGCGGTGTTCTTGTGTGATGGCAGAGCGAGAGGCAGAGCAGATTCTTCAGAGTCAGGGGATCCTACCGACCAGAGGTGCAAGGTAAGATTATTATCTCTGCAAATCACTTGCTGCACGGTGGTGCACGGTGATGTTCGGTGATGCAAAGTGAGGCCATGGCCTATCCCCTCCTTGCTTCCTCCTCGTCCTTCTCAAGCGGTCCTTGTGTTGATGAAACCTTACAAGCGGTACAAGGTAGGCAAGGAACGGGTGGCTAACAATACAGCAGACAACCGTGAGGGGACCTCCGTGAGGGGCCTCCTTTGGGAATGGCCCGAAGCCCATACCCAATGAACTGAGACTGCTTTTGAGGCGCCTCAAAAGCAGTCTCCGTGAGGGGCCTCCTTTGGGATTGGCCCGAAGCCCATACCCGAAGCTGACGTCTTTAGAGGGGCCTCTGTCGTTGTTCGTTAGGAAGCAATCTCTCTGGGAGTTCCCTCTCTCTGGGAGTTCCCTCTCTCTGGGAGTTCCCTCTCTCTGGGAGTTCCCTCTCTCTGGGAGTTCCCTCTCTCTGGGAGTTCCCTCTCTCTGGGAGTTCCCTCTCTCTGGGAGTTCCCTCTCTCTGGGAGTTCCCTCTCTCTGGGAGTTCCCTCTTTCTCTCTCTTGCTGAATTTCCGCTGCCCTGGTTTACTCTAATCAGCGATGCGGCAGGGCCCAGCTTGAGCCTGAGTCACATCGCTCCCCTCTGCCCCCTCCCCCGTTGCCTTGCCTCCGCTTCTCCTCTTCCGCCATCGCCCTGCAGTGCTCGATTGCGCAGCTTGAGTCTCCCCAACCCCCCTTCACCCTTCCCCTCCCCGCCTTTAGATTCCCTTCCTCTCCCCGCCTTCAATTTCCTTCCCCTCCCCGCCTTCAATTCTCTTCCTCTCTCCCCCACCTGCCTGCAGTGCCCGTCTGGGAGCCCAAGAGGCACGGCATGGGCCTGAACCTTTACCACCCCCCGCCCGTTCGTCCTCTCCCGCCCACATTACCTTACCTTCCCTTCCTCTCTCCCCCCACCTGTCTGCAGTGCCCGCCTGGGAGCCCGAGATGTGCAGCTGCTCCTGGCTCTTTCTCAAGGGGGACCCGTCGGGCCATCGGTCCTCTCTTCAGGGCCACGCCTCTTACTCCTCTCATATCTACCTCTCCTCCCCCCCCCCCCCCTTCCCCCTCTACTACCTCCCCACCCGCCCTTCCCCCACCTGCCTGCAGTGCCCGTCTGGGAGCCGGAGAGGCTCAGGTGCTCCTGGCTCTTTCCCAGGGGGTACAATTGCTCCTACTTTCAGAATTCCCCCTCACATCCCTCTCATATTTCCCTCCCTCCAAATCTTCTCTCCCCTGCCTCCCTCTCCCCCAACCCCCCCTATCTGCAGTGCCCGTCTGGGAGCCGGAGAGGCTCAGCTGCTCCTGGCTCTTTCCCAGGGGGGTCCGACTGAGCCTCTTTCCCTTTCCAGAGGCGCACCCATCAGCCATTCTGTGGAGCAAACCTCGAAAGCTCCGCTTTTGCAGGGGGCTAGCGCCCCTCCCTTTTCCGTTTCCGGAGTCACACCAATTGCTACTTTTGTGCAGCAAGTACCAGCCGCTCCCCTTTCCCTTTCCGGAGGCTCGCCAATCACAGCTTTCGCGCAGCAAAGACCAGTTGCTCCTCCTTCCCAAGGGCCTTCCATCGCTTCTCTTCCTCTTTCCGGTGACTCACAAGCAGCCACGCCTGTTGCGCAACAAGCACCGATCACTCCTTTTTCGCAGGGGGCATCCGTCAATCCTGCCACTTCGGCCACTGCTGCTGCTATTGCTGCCGCTGGGAATCAAGGGCTGTGGATGGAGAGGCAAGGGGGGTTTGGAGCACAGGAGGCAGCACCAGGGCCGGCATGGGGTGCTGCTCGCCATGCAATTAGGGATGCAACGTGGGGTGCAGCACAGGGTGCTGCTGGTGCTGCTGCTGCTGCCATTGGTGGCAATGCTGGTGCTGTTGGTGCTGCTCAGGCGCACGAGTCGCTGCTGATGGATCTGGCAATGATGCAGGAGCGAGAGCTGGTGTGGCAGCACAGGCTGCTGGAGCAGCGCCAGCGGCAGGAGCAGCAGCGGCAGCAGCAGCAGCAGCAGCAGCAGCAGCAGAAGGAGCAGGAGCAGCAGCGGCAGAGGCAGCGGCAGCAGCAGCAGCAGAAGGAGCAGGAGCAGAGGCGGCAGCGGCAGCGGCAACAGCAGCAGCAGCAGCAGCAGGAGCAGCAGCAGACGCCGCAGCAATCGAGGACAGCAGGCCCCGGAGGGGCCTTAGATCAAAGCGCGGAGGAGGGATACATCGTGGGCCGGGTGGGGGTGAGGAGAAGCACTGCAGGCAGAGAAGCTGCCGGGAATGAAAAGAGGGTGTGGAGTGAGGGGGGAGGCGAAGGGGGAGGAGATAGGGGAGGAGATAGGGGAGAAGAAGGATGTGGTGAAAGAGAGGAAAGGACAGAAGGGCATGAGGAAGTGATTCTTTTGCAGCAGGAGCAGCAGCACCAGGATCAGCAGCAGCAGAGGCAGAGACAGCAGCAGCGACAGCAACAGCAGCAGGAGGAGCAGCGGCGACAGCAGCAGCATGAGGAGCAGAGTAGGAAGGAGCTCCAGGCGCTTCAGGCGCTTTGGCAGCAGCAGGTGTTACACCTGCAGCTGCAGAGGCAGCAGCAGAGGCAGCAGGAGAAGCAGGAGCAGGAGCAACAGCATCAACTGCAGGTGCAGCAGCAGGCGCAGCAGCATTCGCAGCAGCAGCAGCAGCAGCAGCAGCAGCAGTGGGTGCTCCAGCGTCACTTTGAGCAACTACGGGAGGCAGAGAAGCAACTAGAATTGGCTCACAGCCGAGGCACAACAGTGGAAGCCTTTGCAGTGCAGCAGCAGCAACAGCAGCAGCAGGAGCAGCAGCAGGAGCAGCAGCAGATGCAGCAGCAGCACGAGCAACAGCTGCAGGAGGCACAGCGACTGCAGGAGAGTCAGCAACAGAACCCACTGCAGCAGCAGCTGCTGCTGCAACAACAGCTGCCGGTGCAGCAGCAGCTGCTTCGGCAACAGCTGCTGCAGCAGCAGCACGAGGTTCTAGCAAGGCAGCAGGAAGAGCAGCTGTTGAGGCTGCAGCACCTGCAGCACTGGCAAGAACACCACAAACACTTACAGCAGCAGCAGCTGGAGCAATTGCAGCAGATGCAGCAGTCACAGCAGATGCAGCAGTCACAGCAAATGCAGCAGGGAAGGATAGACGAAGAAAGCAGCAGTCTCCTCGGACATGGCCTCATGCACACGCCGTTTGGAACCCAAAACCCTTCTGGGCATGCACCACAACACGCCCACTTGCACACTTTGTCTGGAAATCAGAACCCTTCTGCGCATGAACCTCAACACGTCCACGTGCACACTCCTGAGCTCCAGCAGACGTTGGCTGCTCTGGGCGTGCAGCCAGGCAGGCTCACGGCTGCTGGTGCTGCTGGTGATTCTGGTAGCATGGCTCAGAGGCAGCAGTGGGAGCGTGAGCAGCAGCAGCAGCAGGTGTGGGAACAGGAGCAGGCTGGGAAACAGGACTAGGCAACAGCAGCATAGACAGCAAGAACAGCATAGACAGCAAGATCAGCATAGATTCCAGGAGCAGCATTCTATTAGAGTAGCAGCCACAGCGTTGGTTTGTGTTAGGAGTCAGAATTGGTAGATAAGAACAGCGTGGGTGGCAGGAGAAGCAGCAGCAGAAGCAGCAGGAGAAGCAGAAGCAGCAGCTGCAGGAGCAAAAGCAGAAGCAGCAGCAGCAGAAGTAGCAATAGCAACAGCAGCAGCAGCAGCAGAAGCAGAAGCAGAAGCAGCAACAGCAGAAGCAGCAGCAGCAAAAGCAGCAGCAGCAGAAGCAGCAGCAGCAGAAGCAGAAGCAGCAGCAGCAGAAGCAGAAGCAGCAGGATGAGAGGTGCAGCAGCAGTGCATGTGAGCTTAGTGTTCGACGACAATCTCTGAGGGCATCCAAAGCCAGAAGCGCAGTACAGGGTTACAAGTACCGTACACTTACCACTGTACTGCAGTGCAGAGCTTCATAGATGGCAAGCATATGAGATACGCTGTTCATAGGAGGCGAAGTAGCACTAGAGACACATGCCTTGGCTTGTGGTTACTCGTTACATGTACTGTAGCACATTGAGAAGGCGCATACGGCCTTTTTTCTGCAGCTAGGCATTCTTTGTGGTGCCAATCTGCAGCATTTTTTTACCCTCAATTTCATGTATTATTTCCAGCTTGACATTGCGTTGCATTGGCCTTTGTGATAGCCATATTTTTAATTGCTTGCTTGGGATTTTTTTTCCTTCACTAGTAATGCTTGTCATTTGAAAAGTCATACATGATGTGTAAAGAATTCCGATTCCTTACAGGGACTCGCCACAGCGAGTACCGCGAACAGTGCGGGTCCGCAGGCTCGGCCCTGGTTTATCGCGCCAAACCAGCCCTTGACGACCTTTTCGGCCCCAACCTGACCCCGAGTCGCCCCGAACCCGTTTTGACCCCGTCACCCTCGGACTGTCGAGTCCTCGACTGGTCCAAACCTCGACATTTCGACCTGGTCAACTCGCACTATATAAGCCCTAGGTCTCATTATTCAGGAGGATTCTGTAATCACTTTCCCCTATAGTATTCTGCGCTATAGTTATAATTCATAACATGATGCTCTACACAAAACGAAAGTTACTGTTGTAACCAAGCATCGCTATCGGTTATGAATGGAACTGTAAAACTGTGAACGAGTGAATAACAATAAAATGAAAAACCAGACAATATATAGGGAACCTAGGCTAATCTTAACCGCGTGATGCACAGGTTCGGAGAAGGGATTCGATGATGCGGAGCGCTTCGGAATGACGCTAAAAAGGTTCGGTGCACCACGTACGGTGACGGAACTACGCTCGGTGTACCCGCTAGCAGTGCGCCTCAGTAAGGAATTACTAATTCCTTTCTCTATATGTAATTTTTTTAAAGTGTGTAACACTTTCTTAAAATGTGTATTGTGAGAGTGTGGCGAGGGCCAACGCAGCAAAGGCAGCGACGAAGCGCTACTCACCCTCTTTTGCCTACAAAAGAGGGACGTGAGGCCATTCGGCCTCACCCACGTTCTTCATTTCTAGTTTCTATAGTTCAATTTCCGCAGTTTCTCGTCCAACGTGGCGAAGACCCAGTCCCTCCTCCGAGGCAAGGCTCCGACGACGCTCCTCACCGACATTTTGCAGCACAACCTCGCTAACATGGCGTCGGCGAACACGACTCCGAATCGTTCGACGAACAACCCCAACAATTCCGTGGAGCCTGGAACTTCGGCCGGGGCAACCGCTCGTCGGCAGAAACGTCCTGCTGAGGAAATTTTTGGCGAGGGGCCCTCGGCTGTCGAGGTCCTGCTTGGCACCAATCGCGCTGCTCCAGAAGAACCGCGCGAGCTGCCAATGGAGGACCACGCGCCTGCGCACGTCGCGACGGCTGCAGGCCACGCGGGCCCCACCGAGCACTCGCCCTTTGACGAGGTCGTGCCAGCCGCCGCCGCCCCCGCGTTGACCGCACAACAGCCCCAGGCGCTTTTGGCGCTGTTACACCAACAGCCGAATGTTACGCTCGGAACATCTTCGGACAATATAACTGCTACGATCAATTTCGCCAAGAAGAAGAAATGCCGCCACCTAAACGCGCGCCGAAAGCTCCGCGCGTCGACAACCAGTCCTCGGCACCGACTCCCGCACTCGCCAATGACACCGACGACAGCGACGACTCTGAAAACGATGATGGTGAGGCTCCTGCCAATATTGCTCGCCATCGCATTCTCGCCCCCGCCCCCCCTCTTCCCCCCCTTGGTCCCACGCCCGCAGCAACTACCTTCATGCGTAAGGGCGTGCGCGACCAGACCGAAGTCTTCACTGCTATCCAAGCGCACCTGCAGCACATCGACTTCGAGCTGCAGCACGGCAACGTCACCGGCGCACTCAACAACGTGAAACAGATCGAGACGCTTATTAATAAGCGTTTCGAGGTGCTTCTCGTTTCGGATGAGGCCGACTTTGAGGCCGCTGATCGCTTCCAGCTCTACCAGTCCAAGAGTGTGCTGACGTCCCGTTCCTACAAGCTGGCGGTCACCGACGTGGCTGCACTCAAGCGCGCACGCGCCATCTACCCCCGTGGTGGTCGTCCTGGCGGCCGTGACGGAGAAATGGACCTCAAAGGCTCCCCCCCTCTCACGTGCCAGCAACCACGCTTCAAGGGCATTTGCTTCCGCTGTGGCCAGCCAGGTCACATGGCTAACGCGTGCCCCATGGGCGGGCGTGGAGCACAAGGCCCCTCACCGGTGGTGTGAGCGGGGGTAAGGGCGGTGCCCTTCGCCAATATGCAAGAAGCATATTGGGCTGCACCGGGGGTGCATGGCTGGTGGCCGGCCTTAGGACAAGGCAAATGGCCTAGTAGACTAGGGTAGCCCTAGTGGCAGAGAAGGCCGTGGGCCTAGAACCTTGTGTTATTCCATGTATGGATCATGCATGCCGTTATGGCGCATTGAAACTAAGATTGCAAAAAAAAAAAAAAAAAAAAAAAAAAAACTTTTGCAAGGCCTCGATGAAAGAGAGAGAGAGAGAGAGAGAGAGAGAGAGAGAGAGAGAGAGAGAGAGAGAGAGAGAGAGAGAGAGAGAGAGAGAGAGAGAGAGAATGAGAGAGAGAGAGAGAGAGAGAGAGAGAGAGAGAAACAGAGAGAGCGAGAGAGAGAGAGAGAGAGAGAGAGAGAGAGAGAGAGAGAGAGAGAGAGAGAGAGAGAGAGAAAGAGAGAGAGAGAGAGAGAGAGAGAGAGAGAGAGAGAGAGAGAGAGAGAGAGAGAGAGAGAGAAAGAGAGAGAGAGAGAGAGAGAGAGAGAGAGAGAGAGAGAGAGAGAGAGAGAGAGAGAGAAAGAGAGAGAGAGAGAGAGAGAGAGAGAGAGAGAGAGAGAGAGAGAGAGAGAGAGAGAGAGAGAGAGAGAGAGAGAGAGGTGACGAAGGCTCGAGCGCTGAAGGGAGAAGGCATGAACATCAACCATGCCCCTTTTGCAATTGAACATGAGCCACTCTCGCTTTGCCAACTGAATGGGAGCTATGCCCCCCTTGGAATTGACTAGGACACATCCACCCTTTAGGCAATTGTCTAGTCTCACTCACTTGGGTACCTATGTGATTCTTGCCACCCGACCCTTTGGTCCAGCAGAAATCGGGAAAGGATGGTTACACAATGAACATGACCCCTACGAGTACGCGGTTACAGACAAGGACGTAACTGTCATGCATAGTCGATTGCGTCACGCCCTACACTAGTGGTGCTCATGGTGCGATATCAGTTCCATCCTGTCCATCATCGCGAAAGGATATTGGCTTCCCTGGAAGGAACCGTGCCACATGCCTTTGAGGATAGCAATCATGCTGGAGTTCGCACACACCTGGACTTCACTCGTGGAGCGATTCGCGACCTCGTCACCTCGGGTGCCGCCGTCAAGGTCCCTACAAAGGACGCGCTCATGTGTGTCAGTCCACTTAACGTGGTGGAGCAGCGCGACAAGTGTCGCCTCATTCTTGACTTGCGCAAAGTCAACAAATACCTCGACATCCCCAAGTTCAAGTACGAAGGCTTGAACAGGGTAGCTGAACTCATCCGCCCAGGCGATTGGATGTTCTCCATCGACCTAAAGTCAGGCTACCACCATGTCGAGATCCACCCCTCCTGCTGGAAGTTCTTGGGATTCCAGTTCGAAGGAGACTACTATTCCTTCATATCGCTCCCGTTCGGGCTTGCCACTGCCCCGTTTGTCTTCACACAACTGATCAAACAACTGGCAAAGCGATGGCGGGCAAGCGGCGTGCGGGTTGTTCCATATGTCGACGACTTACTATTCCTCTGCAACTCCCACTCGGATGCACGCTCGACCTGCGCAGCTGTTGATCAGGACCTGAAGGCAGCAGGTTTTGTTATAAACGGCAAAAAGTCACATCTACACCCCTCGCACCAAATAGCTTTCCTCGGCCTGGAGATTGATGCCGCCCAAGGCACCTTCTCTGTCGGACTCGAACGTCGAGCACAACTTTTTGCTTCACTCCAAGCCCTCATCACCCAGGGACAAGAGGGACGACCGGTTCCCATCCGGTCCCTTGCGAGAATCACAGGAACGCTGGCCTCCATGAATCTGGCATTGGGCGCTACGGCACGTGCCTTTAGTCACGAGCTCCTTCGACTTATTGCAGACGCCACCTCTTGGCACGCCAAGGCACACTTGTCGTCGACAGCAGTGCACGAACACGCGCAGTTCGACAAGTTCAACGGAAACCCATTCCATCTCAGTCACCAGTTCGATGCCGTCATCCACGTCGATGCAAGCGCACACAGCTGGGGCGCCACCCTGACACAACTTCCTGGGACGCCCATTGAAGCCAGTGCTCGCATGCCCGAGGAACTACTGCCCACCTCCAGCACTTGACGGGAACCCGAAGGAGTTTTATGGGCTCTCCGAACTTTTGCTGCCTGCATACCCAAGCGTCACGTGCTCGTTCGGGTAGACAATCAAGGCGTGGTATTCATCCTACGCAGAGGTGGATCGCGCCACCCCACGCTTACGCTACTATGTCAAGCAATAATTCGCCTCTGCCTGGAGCACCAAACAAGGCTAGCTGTCGAATGGATCCCACGTGAGCTGAATGCGCACGCCGACGAACTTTCAAAAATCCAAGACCACGATGACTACTCCCTCAAAGCCCCGTGGTTCCGGCTCTTGGATCGCCGCCTGGGTCCCCACTCTATCGATCTCTTCGCAAATGTGCACTATGCTCAGCTGGAGAGGTTTTGTTCCAAGATTCCACACCCTACGGCCGCAGTGTTTGACGCTTTTTCGTTCAGCTGGCAGCACAAGCGCGGCTTTGCCTTTCCCCCTCCCAACCTCATTCCAGCCACATTACGACACGCTAAAAGCACACACGCTGAGGTGACCTTGGTCATTCCCGAGTGGCCGGGAGCATGATGGTGGCCACTCCTCCAACAGGCACCTGACGCCTGGGTGCCAGAAGTAACGGCGCACATTCCCCTCACCCACGGCAGCCAATGCCTACGCCCCGGCACACACGCACTCGCTTTCGCAGGACAAGGCTTTCTTCCTAGTAAGATGATTGCACTACATGTCACGTATAAAAATTAATAATAATTGTACTCTACGCTGTATCTTTTCAGGCATTATAACGAAGCTGCAAACACAACTACTACACGTAATCACCCGTGTCCATGCCCCTTCCACCATCCGAATGTATGAGCCCTACTGGCTCAAGTTTCGCTCCTTGTGCATGAAGGTGAAGTTGAGCTACTTGCCTGCAACGGATATGACCTTGGCACTCTACCTCATTCATGCACTAAATCACCAGGCCACCACATCTGCCATATCGCTTACATGCTCCGCCGTCGCCTTCGCGCATCGCATGACTGGCGAGCCCTCTTCCTCGACTGGACCATTTACACTACAAGTGCGCGAATTTGCCAAAAGCCATGGCCCGCGCCCCACCCGGAACAAGGAACCTTTGTCGCTGCACCAAGTGCACACCATGGCCCACCCCTTTCTGGAGTCCACCCGGCCGGCCGAATACCAGAAAGGACTCATCCCCATCCTTATGTTCGCCGCCTTCCTACGCTACTCCGACCTTGTCAATCTCCAATGGCATGACATACAGTTTGAGCCTGAGGCGATGTGGCTGCTCATCCCGCACTCCAAGACCGACCAGGAAAGCAGGGGCACGTGGATTCCGGTCGCCGCCACTTCTGGCCCATACTGCCCGGTACGCTGCACACGACACTTTCTTCTCCTCGCGGGTCACACCTCCACCCCACACGGGCCATTGATCCGAGTCTTCGGGAACAGCAGCACGGCAACTCCACAGGACCACGCACCTTCGTACACCACCATGCAGAACTGGTGCCTTGAAGCATTCACCAGGGCCGGCCTCGATAGCGCCCACCTCGGCACCCACTCCTTTTGCAAGGGCGCTGCTACAGCGGCAGCCAGCCTGGGGATATCCGACCGGCTGTTCAAGCGACTTGGCCGTTGGCGCAGCGATAATGCCAAGGAGCTCTCCGTTACCATCGCGCATGACCAACTCCTTCAAGCCTCCATGCAACTCCAAGACGCAGCCACCGCTCCCACGCCCAATCAGCACCAGCTATCTATTGAACGCCACCGCCAACCCCTTCTGCACATATCTCAGAAGACTCAGATGAAATGAAGCACGCTGCCTTTACAAGAGGACCCAAGCAAGCTTTCACAATATGTAATTTTTTGAAAATGTGTAACACAGCCACGTAGCGAGAGCTACATTTTTTTTTTTAGCTACATTTCTAAAAATGTGCATTGTGAGAGAGTAGCGAGGGCCAACGCAGCAAAGGCAGCGACGAAGCCCTACTCACCTTCTTTTGCCTACAAAAGAGGGACGTGAGGCCATTCGGCCTCACCCACGTTCTTCATTTCTAGTCTCTTCAATTTCCCTGCCCACCCACCCTCTTGTGTGTAGTTCTTTGTTGGACGAGAACCATGTATGTTTCCCAGATGAAATGAAGCACGCAACCCCAGATGAAATGAAGCACGCTTTACAAGAGGACCCAAGCAAGCTTTCACAATCTGAAAGAAAGCACGATTAGTCTAGTAAACCTTCCGTAGATTTCATTAGTGCACAAGCTACAAGCCTGCACTTTAGGTTCAAGGGCATCTTTTGACACAAGCCAAATAGGGTACAAGCATTCGTCTTGGCATTTGGATAGATAGAGCAAATTTGCCTGCTGACCCCTTATAAACATGAGCCAGCCAAAAGCCACCTCTACCATCACCTAGGGCTCGGCAAGCACATTGCTTAGTTCGAAGTGCGGCGAGTCGGTGACCTTTTAGAAAGGGATTTGGCAACCTGATCCCCAGAAGGGATGGGTTTGCCATGTCCCTCAACAACACACGTTCCAAGCCATGACCATTGACAACCAGCCTCCTTCAACAGTCCCAGTTGGATTGGACCCACCCGCACTCCACTTTCAAGCGGCCGAATCATCATTGCACACCTGTTGATTAATCATAACCACCCCCACCCACCCCCTCCACGCCCCACACCCTTCCCCCCCTCTCCTTTTCCTTTTCTCCGACCTAGAATTGATGGAGTGGCTCTCGCGGCTCTGCATATACAGATCCGTAGGCCATAACACCTGCCATCCCTGCCCTGCCTCATCTCCTGTCTGCCTCTGAGAGCACTCAGAAACGCTCCTGCTATTTCTGAGGGTTTCTATCTGCTTCCCTGCCTGCTTCCTTGTGTGCTTTCCCATCTGCTCGTGAGTGGCTCCATCCATATGCTCATCATACCCACCCTCATGGCTCGTCACTCTGAATTGAATCTGCATACCGCCCCCACTCTCCTCCCCCTTTCCCCTCCTTCCCCCCTTCCATCTGTCACTTCAGTGCCTCCATCGACTCATCATACATAGACCGGTGGGTCATCACATCTGCCGCCCCTCTCCTATCGCTCCTCCAACTCCCCCTCTCCACCTCACTCTCCTCTTCCTCCTCCTCCTCCCCATCCTCCTCACCCCCCTCCCTGAACATACTCTCACTCTCCTCAGTTGGGCTGGTGATGGGGGACAAAGAAGGAGAGCTCTGCATGCGTCTAAGGGACTTCCGCTGCTGCTGTTGCTGCTGTTGCTGCTGTTGCTGCTGTTGCTGCTGCAGCAGCAGCTGCTGCTGTTGGGGGTGTTGTGGTGGCTGGGACTGCACGTGTGAGTGCGACGGCGAGCGCGAGTGTGACTGTAAAGGGGGCCGGTCGGCAGAGTGGTGCGGGGGAGTGCTGCCGCTGCTGCTGGATTTCTTGACGGCACGTGGGATGGGAGGGGGAGAGTTGGAAACCACCTGGGAGCGAGAGATTGGAGAGCGACATTAGGAGGGAGAGGATGGGGGTGAGGAAGAGGGGGGGGGGGAGAGGGGAAGGTTGATTTCAGAGCCCGATGTGACAGCAACTGGGCAGGGAAATGGGGAGAGACGCCGATGAATGCTGAGGGGAGGGGAACAAAGTTTGGAACGACTCAGACCTTCAAACATGACAGCACCCCACCTGAGGCGAGACAGCACCCCACCTGAGGCGAGACAGCACCTTACCTGCGAGAGCCATTCGTCCATCTTGGGGTTACTCGCCCGCTCGATCCACATGCGCATGTCCTGCGCGGCGCGCTGCTCCGACCCGGTCCTGGGCTGCCGGCCGCCACCGGCAGACAGCGACCCCGGGTCCATGCTGGTGCTCCGCCACAGCGGCGACATCGACTGCGTGCGCTGGACTCCGCCCCCTACCCCTCCTCCACCTCCTCGTCCCAGGCCCCTGCCACCCACACTGCCGCCCATTCGGCTCGAGATTTCTCCGCTGGTTCTGGGGCGGCTGTCGGTGAGCGAGCGCACCGCGTCAATCGGAGAGGCAGAGGGGCTGGGGGAGCCAGAGGGGCTTCTGAATGTGCGGCTGCCTTCTTTCTCCTCCCCAGCCTGTCCAGAGGAGACCTCCTCGCCCTCTCTCCGATCTCCCAACCCATCCCCCCTGCCACCGCCACTGCTGCCACCGCTGGCAATGCTGCTGCTGCTGTTGGCCTGCCTCAGCATGCCGGATGCACCTGCAGACCCAACCATAGACGCAGCCCCCATAGACTCAGGGATGCCTGATCCAGAACTACCTCTGCCGGCCCTTTGGCTCTCAGACTGCTTGCTCTCACTTTTGGCTGCCCCCTCTCCTCTACCATCCCCCATGCCTTCTCCTTCACCCCCTCCCCTTCCCCCAGCCCCTCTCCCCGGCCCAGAAGGCCCCGGATTCCCCCTCCCCACGCCTCCCCCTCCCCCTCCCCCTCCCCCTGCCCCCCGCCCGCTGGGCATCCCCGGTCCCCCAGAGAGGCTTCCCCCTGCAGTGGGGGGTTTCCCCCCCCTCCCCTCGGGCCTGGGTATCCGCCCGTGCCTGGGGCTCTCTGCAACCCGCTCCTGGACCCCCCCTGTGCTGGCCCCTGCTTGCGAGTTCTGGCGGGAATACGTACCCACACCACCACCAGCAGCAGCACCAGCAGCACCAGCAGCAGCAGCAGCAACAGCAGCATTTGCACCACCAGCACTAGTGGCACTGCCGTTGCTTTCGAAGCTCGAAATTCTCAATATTCCCCTGAGGGGAGTAGTCCCTGCTGCTCCTGCTCCTCCCCCACTCATCCCCCCTCCACCCCCACCACCCCCTCCCCCTCTTCCTGCTCCCCCCCCCAGGCGGGACCTCTCCTTGGTGTCCTGCCTGGTCATGTTCCACTCTCTGCTGTTGTTCCACTCACGGCTGTTATTCCATTCCCTGCTGCGCTCTACGTCCCGACCGTCGCGGGGAATAGAGGCGTCTCTAGAGCCAGAGGCGTCTCTAGAGCCAGATGCGCCTCTAGAGCCAGAGGCGTCTCTAGAGCCAGAGGCGTCTCTAGAGCCAGAGGCATCCCTCGAAACAGCAGTATCTCTGGCGTTGCCTGATGCCTCTCGAGTGCCGGTCCATTCCCGGCTGTTATTCCACTCCCTGCTCTGATCCATCGCATCCCCTCCTCTTCCCAATCGCTCCCCGCTTCCTCTCCTCTCCATCCCCCCACCCCTTCCCGTGCCTACACCTCCCCCCCTCACTGCCCCTCCTCCACTGCCCCTCCCTCCCCCTGACCCTCCTCTCCCTCCTCTCCCCCCTCCTCTCTCCCCTCCTCTCCTGCCCCCTTCCCCCCTCGGGCTTGCACCTTGCTCCCTTAAACTCCTATCGCTACCACTTCTTTCAATGCCTATCCCACCACTCATACTAACCCCCCTCACACTCCCGCTCCTCACACTCCCCCCAACACTCGACCCCCCTCGACTGGAAGAGGACAACTCACCCTCATCCTCCTCCTCTCCCTCCGCACTCTCTCCTCCCCCCCCCTCTCTCCCCCCACTCCCTCCCCCATGGATCTTAGACCAGATTTGATCCAGGGACGGCCCTTTGTCGCTTTCGGCCTGAGATTTGATTCTGTTGTTGCTGCTCATGCTGCTGCTTTCTCTCTGCTTGCTGCCGCCGCCGCCGCCACTATTGTAACCGTTACTGTTGCTGTAACTGCTGCTGGCGTCATCCTCCTCCTCATCATTAGTAGCCATACCATCCTGATTCAGACTATGCCCATGCCCATGCCCATGCCCATGCCCATGGCTACTTCTACTCCCCCCCTCCCCAACGCTCTCCTCCTCATCATCCTCGTCGCTCTGTAAAGGCGTGCCTGCTTCCCACATTCTCTTCTGCGACCCGCTTCGAGACAGCCTCGGCCTCCCTCCTCCTCCCTCTCCTCCGCCCATTCCCCTTCCTCCCCCTCCCCCTCCCCCTCCATCCCCCCCTCCTCTCCCAATCCCTCTATCTCCTCTCCTCTCCCCTCCACCACTCCCATCAGCCCCCCTTGCACCAGCAGCAGCACCGGAAGAGACGCCTCTAGGACCGCCAGCAGCACCTGCAGCAGGTGCAGCAGCAGTAGAATACGAGCCGCTGCCTGATCTGCCACTGACCCATCCTTGACTGAAGCCTCCTTTCGCCCCTTCCCCCAGCAGCCCCTCCTCGTCCTCCTCGTCGTCGCTCTCCACCTGCCAAGGAGGAAAGGGTGGAGTGGAACAGGGGGTGTGCACATGGGTGTGCACATGGGCATGCACATGGGCGTGCACATGGGCGTGCACATGGGCGTGTACATGGGTGTGCACATGGGTGTGCACATGGGCGTGGACATGGGCGTGCACATGGGTGTGCACATGGGCGTGGACATGGGCGTGCACATGGGTGTGTACATGGGTGTGCACATGGGCCTGCACATGGGCGTGCACATGGGCGTGCACATGGGCGTGTACATGGGCATGCACATGGGCGTGCACATGGGCGTGTACATGGGCGTGCACATGGGTGTGCATATGGGTGTGCACATGGGCATGCACATGGGCGTGGACATGGGCGTGCACATGGGCGTGCACATGGGCGTGCACATGGGCGAGCGCATGGGTGTGTACATGGGCATGCACATGGGCGTGCACATGGGCGTGCACATGGGCGTGTACATGGGCATGCACATGGGCGTGCACATGGGCGTGTACATGGGTGTGCACATGGGTGTGCATATGGGTGTGCACATGGGCGTGCACATGGGCGTGCACATGGGCGTGCACATGGCTGTGTACATGGGCGTGCACATGGGCGTGCACATGGGCGAGCGCATGGGTGTGTACATGGGCATGCACATGGGCGTGCACATGGGCGTGCACATGGGCGTGTACATGGGCATGCACATGGGCGTGCACATGGGCGTGTACATGGGTGTGCACATGGGCGTGCACATGGGTGTGCATATGGGTGTGCACATGGGCGTGCACATGGGCGTGCACATGGGCGTGCACATGGCTGTGTACATGGGCGTGCACATGGGCGTGTATATGGGCGTGCACATGGGCGTGCACATGGGCGTGTGCATGGGCGTGCACATGGGCGTGGACATGGGTGTCTACATCGGCATACACATGGGCATGCCCTTGGCAGAGACATGGATATGTCACATGTGCATACACACTGTCAAGGCTCACCTTGAAACTCATATATGCGACTGACATAGACATGGAGTGAGAGCGCACAAGGACACATACCATACACACCGCTGAGTCTCACCTTGAAGCTCATATACGCCACAGACATGGGCATGGAGCGCGAGCGAGCACGGGCAGCGAGTACATGGCTTCACGTCACATGACGCTAGACATTGCGTGTGCATGTGCAAGTTGCTCACCTTGAAGCTCATGTATGCCACAGACATGGACATGGAGCGAGAGCGCGTGCGGGCAGAGAAGGCCGAAGGAGCCTGCCTGCCTGGCAGAGACTCGTCCCCCTGCCCGTGAAGCTTCCTGGAAGCTGCTGAGGCTGCTGGTGGTAAGGAATCCAGAAACCTGCCTCCTTCGTCTCCCCTCTCTCCCTTTCTCAGGCTGCTTAATCCAGGTCCCATGCCTGACTGTGCCCGAACCAAAGGAGATCCAGACCTCCGCCGAGCCTCAGATCCGGCCGAACCTCCGCCAGCATCTCCAGAACCTAGAGGGGTGGAACCGGTTGACTTGGGAGCAGCTGTGCTGCGAGAGCGAGGGAAAGCAGGCTTGGCATGAGAGGACAAGGCAGAAACGCCACCACCACCACCTACCCCCCCTCCTCCCCCTCCCCCTCCCCCTCCTCCTCCTCCTCCCGCCCCCCCTGTCCCACCAGCAGCGCCACTGGCACTGCTGCCCCCTTTTCGCCTGGATCGGCCGCGGGAGGAGTCATCGGAAGCACAGCCCTCGGATTCCGACCCGAGCACATCGTTCCAGGACCCGAAGGACGGATATGCCGCTAGGTTCTTCCCGCCCCTCCCACCCACTGCGCCTCCGGGACCCCCTCCTGGGCCACCTCCCCCCGGTCCCTCTCCCCCTCCCCCTCCTCCTCCCGCACCTGCCGCTGCTCCTCCCCCTCCTGATCCCAGTCTCGCACCCATTATCATACCCCTGTCCATTTTTCTACCTCCTGCTCCTGTTCCTCCCATCCCCCCTCCCTTTCCCCCCTCTCCTCTCCCCATCCCTCCTCTTGTCTCCCCCACCCCATCCCTGCCCTGTAACTGACTCTTCCTCCCTCCTGGAATAAACTCAACTGTGTCTTCCCCCTCTGTCTCACCACCCGCTGCCGCCTTCTCATTTCTTCCTCCCTGCTCCTTCCCCAGCTGTCCCAGCTGTCCCTGCTGCTGCTGCGGCTGCTTCTGCCGTTGCTGCTGCTGCTGCTGCTGCTGCTGCTGTTCCTGCTGCTTCTGCTGCTCCTGCTGCTGCAGCAGCAGCTGCCTCTTAGTCTGCTGATACCTAAGCTGCGGAGACGTCGGCTTTAACTCGCTCGTTGGGCTCTTAGGTTGAGTCAAACTCTCCCTAATTGCCTTCTCAATCTCCCGCGGCCGGATTGGCTTCGATAAATAGTGATCCATTCCAGCCGCCATGCAGCTTTCCTTATCCTCGCTAAGAGCAGATGCAGTAAGCGCAACAATAAAAGTCCGGTGCGGCCGCGGGGGCATGCGGGCCCGGCGGGGTTGGGAGGGGGAACCCGCCTCACTGTCGCTAGCATCGCTGCTAGCCACCCAGCTGGCAGCGCTGCCGTAGGGGGAGCCGTTGCCACAGGCGGCCATGGCAGCTGTGTAAACCTGCAGCCGCTCCGACTCCATCTCCCTGATCTTCCTGGTGGCCTCGAAGCCGTCCATCTCAGGCATGTGGCAGTCCTGCACGCAGGTAGCGTGGGGAGAGAGGGGAGGGAAATGGGGTGTGAGCGAGGCGGCCATGGCAGCTGTGTACACCTGCAGCCAATTGGACTCCATCTCCCAGATTTTCCTGGTGGCCTCAAACCTGTCCATCTCAGGCACGTGGCAGTCCTGCATGCAGGTAGCACAGGGAAAGAGGGAGGGGAGGGGACGGGAAGAGAAGGGAGGGGAGGGGAATGGGGTGAGCGAGGCGGCCTAGGCAGATGTGTTCTTCATGGCCTTGGATCACCTGCAGCCGCTCCCGGGTGTTCTTCGTGGCTTCAAAGCCATCCATGCGGCAGTCCTACAGGGAGACATGACATGAGGCGTGCGACATGAGGTGTGAGACATGAGGCGTGAGACATGAGGCGTGCGACATGAGGCATGAGACATGAGGCGTGCAACACGAGGCATGAGACATGAGGCGTGAGACATGAGGCATGCGACATGAGGCGTGAGACATGAGGCGTGAGACATGAGGCGTGCGACATGAGGCATGAGACATGAGGCGTGCAACACGAGGCGTGAGACATGAGGCGTGAGACATGAGGCGTGAGACATGAGGCGTGAGACATGAGGCGTGAGACATGAGGCGTGAGACATGAGACGAGGCGTGATACAACAAGCAAGCACAGGAGTCTCGCAAGATACCAGGCGTGAGCAACACTGGAACACCTACCATGAGCACCTTTTGTGTTGACTCAAAAGTCTCTCAGGGTACTAGGCGTGAGCAACAGAGGAACACCTACCATGAGGACCACGTCGTAGCAGCGCTCGGAGCACGCCCTGACTGCGAGCTTGCCGTTCTCCACCACGTCGTACTTGAGCCCCAGGTTGTGCAGCATGCGCGTGGCCACCATCTGGTTCACCTTGTTGTCCTGAGATGATAGAAGGGTGTGGAGTGGGGGGGAGGGAGGAGGAAAGGGGAAGAGGGAGGGAGGGGGTGGGGCGCAGTGATGTGGGAGGGGTACTTGAGCCCCGGGTCCTGCAGCATGCGCATCGCTACCGTCTGGTTCACCTTGTTGTCCTAGCGGGCGTGAGAGGGGCGGGTAGGATGGGGTGGGATGGGATGACCGGAAGAGCAGCGGGGGAAGGGTAAGTGAGCCCCAGGTCGTGCAGCAAGCATGTGGCCGCCATCTAGCTGACTCCATTGCCCTGCTCTATTGACTCTAGCTGAGCGTTTGGGCGTGAGAGTGAGTGCGGTGCAAGGTGGAAATGAGCTCTGCATGCCAGCTCCCGTTCTCCAAATGAGTGTGCAAATGAGTGTGGGTGGGGAGTGAGTGGTGCGAGTGAGTATACAGGGGGGAAGGGAAGGAGGGAGAAGGGAGAAGGGGGAAGGGAGATTGAGCCCCAGATTGTGCAGCATGCGTGTGGCCACCATTTAGTTGACCTTGCTGTCCTGAGATGGAAGAGGAAAGGGGGGAGCAGGGAAAGGGGGAAGCAGGGAAAGGGGGAAGCCGGGAAAGGGGGAAGCAGGGAAAGGGGGAGCGGGTTGGAGGGGGAAGGTGGGGGAGGGAGAGGGGAGGGAGAGGGGAGGGGTGAGGAGAGATAACAACGATTGGGACGGCCAGATTATGCTACATACTGGCGCATGGGCACCATCTGACTGACTTTGTTGTTCTGGAATGGAAGGTGTCCATCCAGTATCCAGTAGCATCCGAAGCATCCCGCCCGCACGACCCCTCTGAATCATCCAGCAGCATCCCCAGTAGCACCCCCAGTAGCACCCCCAGTAGCACCCCCAGTAGCACCCCCAGCAGCACCACCAGCACCCCCCCTCACCTCGGCCACCAAGACGCGCATATCCTGCAGGTGCTTCCACAGCGGCTCAATGTCGCTGGTGAGTGACTGCTCTGCTGATGCCGCAGCAGCAAGGGCCTCTCGGCTCACCACGCCCACCCGTACATGGAAGTAGAAGGTGGAGCCCACTCCCACCTGTCACAGCGGTTGGGGGGGCAACGGGAGGACGAGAGAGTCATACCCTCCTTGCAATAACATAGCTAGATCGGAGCCAGAACATGATTGGAAAAGAAACCAAAGCACGGAAAAAGAGGAGATGTCTGCATCTGCCTGAGCAGGACAAGAACCCTGTTCCCCCCGCACCCCATCTGTAACTTCGCTGTTTGACCGAACGTCCTCGCCTGCCATCGAAACATTCGAATGTATACATAACAGCTCTCGCCCCCCTCAATTTCGAATGTATACATAACAGCTCTCGCCCCCCTCAATTTCGAATGTATACATAACAGCTCTCGCCCCCCTCAATTTCGAATGTATACATAACAGCTCTCGCCCCCCTCAACTTCGAATGTATACATAACAGCTCTCGCCCCCCTCAACTTCGAATGTATACATAACAGCTCTCGCCCCCCTCAACTTCGAATGTATACATAACAGCTCTCGCCCCCCTCAACTTCGAATGTATACATAACAGCTCTCGCCCCCCTCAACTTCGAATGTATACATAACAGCTCTCGCCCCCCTCAACTTCGAATGTATACATAACAGCTCTCGCCCCCACAATTTCGTCCCCACTTCCACCCGCCCCTCTGTTTTCCCTGCTTCCGCTATTCCGACTCTGGCAGTTTCGCCACTCCCGCTGCCCAATCAGCGATTTTCATACCTAAATCACACTGTAGCAGTTAACACATTTCAGGGAATGTGTACCGCGGCTTTCACTTCACTATCACCACCCCCACCGCACCTGGTTGGCTGTGCAGGCTGGTTTCCCCCCCCATGAGGTAGCAGAGGTTCTTGTCATGCAGGTTGATATCCCACCACACGGTGCAGGCTGATTCCCCCCCCCATGAGGTAGCACAGGCTCTTACAGATCACGAGCCCATAGATGTATATATGGCTTTGCTACACATGTTCTCACCTGGCTATGCAGCCTGGTATCCCACCTGGCTGTGCAGGCTGATGTCGCCCCCCATGAGGTTGCAGAGGCTCTTGCAGATTGCGAGCCCCAGCCCGGTGCCGCCGTATCGCCGGCTGGTGGAGTTGTCGGCTTGAGAGAACGCCTTGAACAGCCGGCTGCGCGCCGACTCGTCCATGCCCACGCCCGTGTCCCGCACCTCAAACCGCACCATCACACTCTCGCCCTCCCCCTCCCCCTCGCCATCCCCCCCTGGCCTCCCACCCGCTCCGCTCTTCCCCTTGCTGTCGCCCTTGCTCCCGCTGCCGCCGCTGCCGTCGCCATGTGCACCGCTGGTGATTTCTGCAGGGGGCTTGGGCGGAGCTGCCTGCTCCACCTCTCGGATCTCTTCGTCAGTAGCCAGGCGCAGGTCAACTGTGATGCCACCGCTGTGGGAAAAGGAATGGGGGAAAGAAAGGGGGGGGAGGGGGGAAGGGGGGATGGGGGGGCTTAGGCGGGCGGGGGTGGGGGGGGGTGGGGGGGAGGGAGAGGGAGGGAGGGGGGGGGAGGTGAGGGGATGGCGGAATTGGGGATGAGCACTCTACTCCAGGCTGCAAAACCAGTTGATTCCAAGTACACCCCTGTTTGCATGTCTATATAATACTCGCCCACTCACTTGTTGGTGACCTTGATGGAGTTGAAGATGAGGCTCAGCAGCCTTGCCTGGCCTGGCTGTCTTGAGTCAGTCATGCATGCACGACCAATGGCCCATGGGCCATGGGCCATGTCATTCAACTCAACTCAACGCCGCCTTGTCAAAACACCCGCACTTACTACCCTCACTCCCCATCACCCAGCACTCACTTCTCGGTGAACTTGATGGAGTTGGAGATGAGGCTCAGCAGTGCGTGCCTTGCTTGCAGACAAACATGCATCATCCATCCCCCTAACTCGCACATAACACCCTCAAAACTCAAATCTCGGTGAACTTGATGGAGTGGGATACGAGGTTCAGCAGCACCTGCCTGTCTGAGTCATGCATGCCCCGTGGGCCGTGTCACTCAACTCAGTACCTCATTGTCCAAACATCGCATCCACACTCATCTCCCATCACCCCCAGCACTCACTTCTCGGTGAACTTGATGGAGTTGGAGATGAGGTTCAGCAGCACCTGCCTCAGCCTCACAGGGTCGCCCACCACCACGGATGGCACCTCCTCCGCAATCTCCAGCTCCAGGTACAGCCCCTTGTCTTTTGCCACCACCTCTAGGAGGGCTAAAGCCTCTGTGACCTGGAGAATGAGAGTGAGGGAGAGATTAGGGTGAAAGAAATATGAGAGACAGGCCCCTGCAGAGGCAAAGAGAGGCACCTGTATCAAGCGGTGACCCATCATTCTGCACCCCACGTACAGCCTTCCCCTCCCACCTTACCTCTCCTCCCCTTCCAGTCTCCCCCAGTTCCACCCCCACCACTCATTCCCCCCCTCCCCCTCCCCCTCCCCCTCCCACCTCCCCACCTGCTGGTGGATGTTGAACTCTTGTCCTTCCAGCACCAGGTCCTTGGAGTCGATATTGAGAGGTCCAGCACATGCTGCTCTCTAACCTAAGGGAACACCCAGAGTCTGATAGACTACCAATCTACCCACTCCCCCCCCCCCCCATTCTTTCCACACATCTCCCCCTCTTCCCCAGCCCCCCACCCCACCTGCTGCTGGATGTTGAACTCGATTCGCTCGAGTGCCAGGTTCTTGGACTCGGCCTTGGAGAGGTCCAGCACAGGTGCATTCCCCTGTGAGGGGTCACCCAGAGACCACCCCATGCATGCACCCAAACACCCATCCCTCCTCTTCCCGCCTCCCCCCTCTTCCGACTTGCTGCTGGATGTTGAACTCAATCCTCTCGAGAGCCAGGTTTTTGGACTCGATCTTGGAGAGGTCCAGCAGATGCTGCATTCACCTGAGGAGACACCTCGATCAGAGACCACCCCATGCGTGAGGAGTCTATTTTTGAGGCGCCTAAAAAATAGACTCCTCAAGCGAGGAGACACCTCGATCAGAGACCACCCCACGGACCCCGACGCCCATCCCTACTATCCCAACCTCTCCCCCCCGCCTCCTTCCCCCTCCCTCCCCACCTGCTGCTGGATGTTGAACTCGATTCTCTCCAGCGCCAGGTTCTTGGACTCGATTTTGGAGAGGTCCAGCACGTCCGAGATGATCCGCAGGAGGTTGTCCCCCGACGACCGGATGATCTCGAGGTACGAGCGCTGCTCCGCTGTCAGGTCCGTGCCCAATAGCAGCTCTGCCACCCCGATCACACCTGCAGCAAGGACGAGAGTGTGGGGCATGGAGGGAGGGACGGATGATCTCCAGGTTCGAGCGCTGCTCCGCTGTCAGGTCCGTGCCTAGCAGCAGCTCTGCCACTCCGATGACTCCTGAGAGGACAACCAGTGATCCAGGGAAATGGGCAGGCGGCAGGCAAGGGGGATGGTCTCCAGGTTCGAGCGCTGCTCCGCTGTCAGGTCCGTGCCCAGAGGCAGCTCTGCCACACCAATGACACCTAAGCGATGCGAGGGGGGGGTGAGAGAGGAGGAGGAGGAGAGGGATGAGCCTGCTGCTAATTATGCGCATAGGTCGCGTCGCTCGTTCATCCTGTTCTGTGGTGCATCACCACCACTCACCGTTCATGGGTGTCCGGATCGCGTGGCTCATGTTGACCAGGAACTGGCTCTTGGCCTGGCTGGCCTTCTCTGCTGCCTCGTTGGCCGCCCTCAGCTCCTCTGCCTGCTGCTTGGTCTCGGTGAGCTCGTGCCACACATCCCACCACTCACCCTTCACCTTGTGCTGCACCCCCCCTCGCCACTTACCGTTCATCGGAGTCCTGATCTCGTGGCTCATGTTAGCTAGAAACTGGCTCTTGGCCTGGCTGGCCTTCTCCGCCGCCTCCTTGGCCGCCCTCAGCTCCTCCGCCTGCTGCTTGATCTCGGTGAGCTCGTGCCACACCACCAGGTAGATGGGGTGCTGCTGCTGCAGCTCCAGGAAGGTCAGAGTGACCTCTATGGGGACGAGGGAGCCATCGAAGCGTTGATACACCCACTCGAATCTGGGGTAAGGGAAGGAAGTAGGGCAGAGCCAGGGGGGGGGGGGGGGGGGTGTGGTTTGTGGTTTGAGGCGCCTCAGCTTGTGCCACAAGACCAGGTAGGTGGGGTGCTGCTGCTGCAGCTCCAGGAAAGTTAGGGTCACTTCGATAGGGACTAGGGAGCTGTCGAATCGCTGGTACTCCCACTCGAACCTGGGAGAAGGGGAAGAAGGGGGGAAGGAGGGGGGGTTTTAAGGCGCCGTCGATAATCCTCAGAGATATGGAGCCGCTCGATAGGGACCAAGGAGCCGTCGAATCGCTGCCCTTCCTGTCCCTCTCCCCTCCCCCCTTCCCCCCCGCCGCCCACACACATCTCATATTTGTGCATGCCCTGCTCCTCTGCACATCTGTCCATTTCCTTAGCCTTCTCCTTCGACAGCTGCCAGTCCGGCTGCTTGAGGGGCGAGAAGAAGGCGGGGTGGTGGGCGAAACACATGCCCTCTCTCTTTACACTCACTTGTGCACTCTCTCCCCCCCACCCCCACCCCCCTCTCCTCTCTCACTCACTTGTGCATGCCCTGCTCCTCGGCACGTCGGTCCATCTCCTTGGCCTTCTCCTTGGACAGCTGCCCGTCCGGCTGCTTGAGGGGCGAGAAGAAGGCGGGGTGGTGGGCCAGCAGGTGCGTCTTGTCGCTGCAGCGCAGGCACCGCACCGCCGCGTCGTTGCACTCCGTGATGCCTGTCTCGTCAAACACCAGATACCCGTCCTGGGGGGGCGGGAAAGGCGGGGGGGAGGGGAGTTGGGGGGTTGGGGTTTGGGAGAAGGAGGGGAGAGAGGGGGGGAAGCATGTTGTTGGGAGGGAAACGCAGGCACCGCACCGCCGCGTCGTTGCACTCCATGATGCCCGTCTCGTCAAACACCAGATACCCGTCCTGATGGAAGGGGTGGGGAGGAGGGGAGAGGGATGAGACCAGGGAGTTAGGGAGTGAGGGGACGTTCTGAGCTGCCCCAAAGGAGCAGTGTCGTCGCACTCGGTGATGTCCGCCTCGTCAAACACCAGATAGCCGTCCTGAGGGGTGGGGGGGGGTGGGGGGGGTGGGGACACCAGGAATTACCATTAAAAATTACTTGTCAGATTCTGTCTCACACACAGACATACACACACACAAGCCCACACATACCGATGAGAACTCGAACAGCAGCCAGCACTTCTCCCGCATACCAGCCGGCCCATGATGTCGCTACCCTCGCACAGCTCGCCTGCCCCCCCAGCTCCCATTCTACCTCCCTCCCCTCTCATTCGCCTCCCCTTTCTTGCTCGTGCTCTCACTCACTCTCTTGCTTACCACTCCCACGGGTGACCTTTTAGTCGACTCAAAAGCCACTCCCGCAGGCCCCCCAAAACGCACCGACGAGAACTCGAACAAGAGACGGAACTTCTCCTGGACTATCAGCCGGTCAGTGATGTCGCTGACCACCCACAGCTCGCCTCCCCCTTCCGCTGCGCAGTCGCGCCCCACCACCTCCACCCACCGCTGCTCACCGTCGCTCCTCACCACCCGCATGGTCCGCGGATGGGGGAACCCCGCCTTCCTATCTCCTTCCATCACCTTGCGCACCTGAAAGGTAGGGAAGGTGGGAGGGAGGGGAGCGGGGTGGGTTAGAAACAAGCCACTCTTCCCGCCGTGCAGTCGCGCCCCACCACCTCCGCCCACCGCTGCTCCCCGTCGCTCCTCACCACCCTCATGGTTCGAGGATGGGGGAACCCCACCTTCCTATCCCTTTCCATCACCTCGCGCACCTGGAACAGGGAGAAAGAAAGAGGGAAAGTGGGGAGAGAAGGAAAGGAGGGGAAGTGAAGGGTGGGAAAGAAATATTCCCCTTTTTCGCCCCGCAGTCCCTCCCCCGCCCCACCACCTCCACCCACCGCAGCTCCCCCTCACTACTCCGCACCTCTCTCTCCCCCTTGCAGCAGTAAGAACCACTCGTCCGAACAGCCGACCTGCCTCCCTGAGTACCCCAACTAGCACATCCGCTGTGTGAGCTAGCTAATTTAAACTCGACTGAAAAACAGCCCAGCTCCCTCCCTGAGCACCCCAATGTGTGCCTTCACACGCTTACCCAGTCCGTGTCCTACTAACCACTCTCCCATCCCAGACAGCCACCCGTGAGGAGTCTATTTTTGAGGCGCCTCAAAAATAGCCTCCTTACCCCAGTCCCTGTCCTACTAATCACGCTCCCATCTTTGAGGCGCCTCAAAAATAGACTTCACACGCTTACCCCAGTGCCTGCCCTGTCCTACTAATCACTCTCCCATCCCAGACAGCCACCCTACCCATTCCCTACCTCGGCCTCTCTCTCTTGAAACAGCAGCGAGAACCACTCGTCCAAACACCCCAGCTCCTTCCTCGAGTACCCCAGGATAGACTCCAGGTGCGCGTTCACCAACACCTCCCCTCCTCCCCCTGCTCCCCCTGCTCCCCCGGCTCCCCCTGCTCCCCCCGCTCCCCCACCCCTCTCTTGCCGTGGCACCATGTGTGCTACGCCCGCTGGCAGGTGCTCCAAGATGAATCTGTGCCGGTCCGAGGGGTCCTGGGGAGACACCTGAGGTCGAGCGGACACAGGGAACAAGGTGTTTGGGGGGGGAGGGGGGGAGGGGGGGGAATGGATGTGGGTTGTACTTTGTGGATCGAAAATCAGCAGACGCCCGCTGGAGGATGTTCCCAAGTGACGCAGTGGCAGCCTGAGGAGTCTTGGGTGGACGCCTGGGTTGGGGTTGTGTGATGTTTGTTGGGGAAAGGGGAAGGGTGAGAGAATGACGCGGCAGGAGAGCTATATGACATGACTATGGCTCCCATTCTGCTGTGTAGAGGCAAAGACACACCCCTCGATTGACAGGCAATTCAAGTCACGCACCTTGGCGGCGTTGCTAGACGCTGGCAAGTCGCAGATCACAGCCATGAGCGTAGACGCGGCACCAGCAGCAGCAGCAGCGCCACCATCGGCTGAGCCCACAGCAGGAGGTGCCGCATCGACCGTGATGCGCACAGGACGGAGCTTGCCGCCCGGCAGCACCAGGCGCAGGTCGTGCTGGCACTGCCGCTGCCATGCTGGCGCTGACGTGGACGAAGCTGCGCCACTCAGGATGGCGTCAGAGACGCTCCTGAACCACGCCTGGAGCGGGGAGGGGAAGGGGGGGGGGGGGAGGGAGGAACGAGGGGGGGAGGGGGTGTGTGCGAGGGGGGAGGGAGAGCATGGGGATTATGATACCTCTAGCTATGTCTACCATAGCTGGCTGCATATCTTATGGTGCCCATGCTCTGCCACACCAAGAAGCCAGGAAAATCATCATGGGAAGGGATGCACACAACGCCCTCCTCACCACCTTTCCTTTCCACCTTCTTTCCACCTTCTTTCCACCTCCTTTCCACCTCCTTTCCACCTCCTTTCCACCTCCTTTCCACCTCCTTTCCACCTCCTTTCCACCTCCTTTCCACCTCCTTTCCACCTCCTTTCCACCTCCTTTCCACCACCTTTCCACCTCCTTTCCACCTCCTTTCCACATCCTTTCCGCCTCCTTTCCACCTCCTCACTTATCCACCCTGCACGCCCTTATCCATACCTCCATATTTCCATACCTGCCTATTTCCATACCTGCCCATTTCCATACCTGCCCATTTCCATACCTGCCCATTTCCATACCTACCTATTTCCATACCTACCTGTGCCCATACCTACACACACCGATACCACAACCATACACACACCATACCCACACCACACCCCTGGCTGCAACCACAGCCCTACCTGGAAGGCAGGTGCACCATCAGCCGCAAAGAAATCGTCCATCGCCCACCCCTCCATGGCCCCTCACTTGTACGCCCACCCTGAACAATTATATCCATACATGCCTACATACCCACACCCACACCCACCCACACCCACACCCACACCCACACCCGCACCCGCACCCACACCCACACCCGCACCCGCACCCGCACCCGCACCCGCACCCACACCCACGCCTGCGCCCGCGCCCACGCCCACCCACACCCACACCCACATCCGCACCCGCACCCGCACCCGCACCCGCACCCACACCCACACCCACACCCACACCCGCACCCACACCCACACCCGCACCCGCACCCGCACCCGCACCCACACCCACACCCACGCCCGCGCCCGCACCCGCACCCACACCCATACCCCTACCTGGAAGACAGGCGCATCATCAGGTGCAACGAAATCGTCCATCGCCCGCCCCTCCACGGCCCGGGCCGGGCGGCCCAACATCGCAGCAAGGGCGGCACTGCAGTGCGCCAGCTCAGCACTGCTGACGCGCAGCGCTGCTAGGGAGACACACGCCGAGTCGAGAAGTGACCTGATGGTTGGAGGGGATAGGACCAGAGAGGGAGAATGCAGGAGAGCCAGAGTAAACGAGCATGGCAGTAACAGTGGCACTGCAGTGCGCAAGCTGCGCCCTGCTGAGCGCTGCTAGGGAGACAGATGCTGAGTCTAGAAGTGATCTGACGAGGGGTTGGCTGTTAAAAAAAGAACAACGATGGAATGCTGGGGCATTCCGAGAGTGACAAACATGCCCGCCAGAGGGGGAGAGGTACATGGGGTGGGGCAATCCACACCAAAGAAAGGCCGCTGATACAAGTGGTACAAGTGGATTGGTGGTGGCGCAAGTCTGGGAACGCCGCTGATGTACCTGAGTGGCTGGTCTGGCAGCCAGTGAATGTCGATGGAATCCTGCACCCAGTGCTGGGGGAAATGGCCCTCTGGGGGGGGCACAGGCGGAGGGACGGGTGGAGGGACGGGCGGAGGGGAGAGGGGGAAAGGGGATGAGGGGAGGGGGGAGCAGCAGACCTGGCAGCCGTGAATGTCGATTGAGCCCTGCACCCAGTGCTGGGGGAAATGGCCCTCTGGGGGGAGAGAGATGGAGGGGAGGGAAGGGAGACGGGTAGGGGAGAAGTGGGAAGGGGAGAGGTGGGGAGGGGATGAGGGGAGTGGGGCCGATGGAATCCCGCACCCAGTGCTGGGGGAAATGGCCCTCTCGGGGGAGGCAGAAACATGTGGATGGAGAGACGTGTAAGGTAGGGAAGGGAAGGGTAGCTGACGGCTCGAGCCTCAGGCACGCTTCCTACGGCAGCAGGTAACCAAGCCAGCCCGGCTATGACTACTACCACCACATTACACCCGACCATTCCCCACACCCGACCATTCCCCTCACCTGACTAGTCCCCTCGCCTGACCAGTCCCCTCACCTGACTCCTGAAGGCGTGTCCTCACCTGCCCCTGCTCCTCCTCCTCCTCGCCTATCTCCTCCTGAGTCGCCTCCTCTCCTGTCTTCCCCCTTACCTCCTCCCCTCCTCACGTGACCAGCCCATTCGTCCTCCTCGACCGTTCACTGCTCACCTGCTCCCACTCCTCCTCACCACACCTCACCACACCTCACCACAGTTGTGAGTCGTCTCATCCCCCCTTCCTCCTCTCCTCGCGTAACCAGCCCATTCGTCTTCCTCAGTCACTCACTGCGCCCCCCGTTTCCCAGCTCACCTGACCCAAACCGCGATCTGCGGTTCTTCTTCCCCGCCCTCCCCAGGGTGTCACACCTATCCGCGGACACCTGCCCCCGCGCATCCTCCCCTCCGCCCACGCCTCCCCCTCCCCTCCCCGCGCCCATCCCCCTCCCGAACCCGCTTCCCAACTCCCCAATACCAATATCCCCTTCTTCTACACTCATCATTCTTCCTCCGGGCCCCCCGCCCCTGGCTTTCCGCCCTCGCCCCGTCTCCTCTCCGCGGAGCGTTCCCCCAGCCATTCCCCCCATCATCCCGCCCATCACCCCTCCGTCCGCGCTCCTTTCAAACGCGCCGCTTTTCGCTAAAGACATCAGCGACTTATTCTCCATCGCGCCTACGTCCATACTCTGCCACCTATTAAGCCGCGACTCGGGCCGGCGCGGCTCGGGAGACCTAGACGACGCCCGCTGCTCCATCTGCGACCGGCTGAGCGAGTCCTGCCGGCTAGCCGAATCCTGCTGGCGGCTAGCCGGCTGCGCGAAAACGGCTGTCTGCGACCGGTGGAAGGGGTCTGACGGCATGAGCATGTGAACCTTCCCACCAATACTTAACCCCCGGCGGAGGGGCTTGGGCTGGGGAGCGGCGGGAAGGGAGGAAGGCGAATGGGCAGCAGCGGCAGTGGCGTCATGCGCGGACCCAGGAACCTCATAGGGGCCTCCTAGCGGGCCGTTGAAGCCACCTGTTCCGACAACACTTCCTCTCGCTTCTGGTTTACTACCCAGCCCCTCCCCCTCCGCCAAACCCTCGTCCTCCGCCAACTCCTCCCCCAACGCCCCTCCGCCAATTCCCTTACTTCCGCCAACAGCCTTATTTCCGCCGCGCGCCGAGCCGGTGAGCGCAGACTCGCTCGGTGATCCGTCGCCGCTGCCATCGTGACGCCCAGGTGGCAGCTGAGCTGGCGGCGGCGGCGGCCCCTGCGGCTGTTCATGCGCTGTGGCCACGAGTTCTCTCTCCCCGCCCACGCCAAAGAACTGCAGATCGATCGACACTGCAATGCCCGACACACCCGAAACGCCCGAAACCCCCAACGCGCTTGACCGACCTTGCCCCTGCGCCTGCCCCTGAGCGCGTTCCTGCGTCCCGGCCGCTGCCCACTCCCGTCCCCCTGTCCTCCCCCTACTGTTCCTCCGCCTGACCGACCCCTCGTCCCCCGAAGCTAGGTCTGACTCGTCTCCCTCCCCCCCCTCCTCTTCTTCGTCCTGCGACATTTCTCCCGCTCCCGTGGCTACGTCAACCGAAGCTGAAGAGACGGTTCGGATCGACCGAACGTCCTCTGACGTGCTAGAAACTATCCCCGATATAGACCCCGAGCCCGCTCCGGCTCGAGATAAGCTGCTTTCACCCCATGTTCCCCGCCTGAGGAGATTCGCCGCCGCCCATTCCGAGCCTCCGCTGCTGCTTCGGCTGACATCTCCGTGCCGAGCCTGCGCGTGCGGGACCCTCGGCCCGGGATGACCGTGATTAGCGCCGTTATCCCCGCCGCCTCTAATCCCTCTAGGCTCTGCAACTTCCCCATCGGTCTCTGATTCTCCCTCCCCTTCTCCTCCTCTTTCCTTTGCTGGCAGAACTACAGAGAATCGCGCGCCCTTCTCCTCTCCAGTGGCCAGAGGCGCGACCAGCTGGAGCCAGTCAGCCAATGGGAGGCCGTCTACCAGATTGCAAAGCGATAAGGCTTCCAGCTCAGCATTGTCGTATCCAAGGGCTCTCCGTGCGCCTTCGCTGGCGCAGCAGATCCTGGCCGTCCATGGGTCGAGAACGAACTGGAGGAATTGAGCCTGCTGTACAAACCCTAGAACGGTCTGGCTCCTTCCGCCACCGCCGAACGACCCTTGGGGATTGTTTCCACCGGACGTTCCGCTCCTCCGTCGTCTCCTGCTGTTAGCGACGTGCCCGGGTCTCCCGTTTCTGGAAAACCCGGAGCTCTGATAGGCTACTGAAACCGTCATTGATGACTAATCCGAGAGGTTATTGGTAAGAGTCATTGGTACTGGAATAAACTAAAGCTCTCCTACAGCCACTACGCATAATAGATTGGAAAGTCCTGCTCTCCTGTGCCATAAAATTGAGTTAGCGGTTAAGCGACTCGGGTTGTTCCGCCATTGGCAAAGCTCAGCACTGCAGTATCAGACGCAGCAATTGCGAACGACGAAACATAAGTGTGCGCACAAACCCTAAACTGCAACCCTCTAGTGTAACCCCCTAACCAAAAAGACTGCAAACAGCTTTGTGCTTCACAACAACCGTCGCGTCGGTAGCAACAGTTTCCTAATATTGCATACAAGTATGTATGCTGTCAGCGATCCTACAAGTCATGTCAGAATCAGTCCCTACCCCAATATGTGCCAACCTACTCCAGCAGACCAAACCTGTGTGTGGGAGCTGAGTGGAGGAGCAGCGGTCCCAGCAAAGTGACGAAGAAGCCTGAGGGGTATTACACCGTGCTTTTCTTGCTTCTGCTCCCAATGTTTGAAGCGCGAATCTCAATAGTCCCATAATGATAAGAAAAAAATCCCAGTTTCCGAACTTGGAATCCGCCAGTCGGCATAATGCCTAGAGTGTGAAGCTTTTAACCCTCCATACTAGCCTGGAACAAAAACTGCCCCCCCCCCCCCCCCCCGGAAAGTCTTTTTATATCAATTTGTTTCAGCCTGCCATTCGGTGGCTGTTAGGGATGAATCTGGAGAGAGTGTCAGACCCGAGGTTGACCCGCAGCAAAAGGAGCCGCGGTTTGTCAAAACCTAGCTGCGGGTTTTATAATCTTGACGGTTCAGCGGCTGCACAGTCGCTAACTGTCGCAAGGGGAGGGTTGCGACGATAATGGCCGGACTTTGCGAGTCCACCAGATATTTGTTTGTTTATGATTTGTGGAAATTCATTTGGGCGACATTGGGAGTTGTTCGGTATGACAGCTGACTGGCTGGAGCCGTCGATTTTTCGCAAGACCCGAGGCGATTTTTTTTCCAGTCTCGGATCTTCCCGCTAAACCCACGGGTCTAATACTCGCTGCGGATCGCACCCTTATAATGACCGATGCCATTTATCACCAGCCCACGAATCAAGCACAGACGCCACCCTTGAGTTTGCCGCGCTTCGAGCAAAAAAAACTTTGAAGGGCGGGCTTCTTCAGGTTTGCGCCAACTGCCCCGCACCAACCCCGAGGTGCCTATCAGCCAAGACGGTTCCACCATGGCGATGCGATGCCTGCCCCTTTCGGCTCGGGAAGCAAAGAAAGAACGAGGTCCTCCTGTGGCCCCGAAAAATATCGAACCATGATTGGCTGGGAGAGGTTTGTTATGGTTCGGTGGATGGCTTGGCTTGTTTGGTTTTGACTTGAGTCTGTGTCCCCCTGATCCGAAGGCTGACGGAAAGTTTGACGGGCGTCAATTCTTGGTTGAGACTTGACGGAGGGCACCCCTGCCGAAGTATCGCTAAGAGGACGCCTCGCAAGATGATAACACCACAAGCACCGGTAGAACCCTACAGAATTTAGGTATAAGGATGTGGACAGCTCTTGGTTTGCATGGAATTATACAAGGTGAACACATTGGTTCAGCTCTCTATACCAAACTTCTGTTGAAGGAGCATTATACCTTTGAGCTGGAACTGTTTAAATATTTCTAAATGCATCTCGTTCTATAAAATATGGAGGGTGTTTTTCAGTGTACAGTCCGTTCGGCATCATTGGTGTCAACATGGGTGCAGATGGCTTTACACATGAGTGGAGGGCTCCTCTCATGTCATTGTCTATAAGTCACCATTCCTAACCACTAGGACAAAAAGGGATGTCCTCAGGAGCGTTAGGCTCCATATATCCACCTCCCCTAGGAAAGCCTCCCTAGTAGTACCCTCCCTAGAGAGAGAGGAGGTTCAACTGGGTTATCCCAGTGCCACGACACACCCCTCGTTGGGAGAGCATGTACGCCAGGAATTGAACCCTTGATCACTGTGATACCATGTCATAAAGTTACTAGTCCTAACCACTGGGATAAGAAAGGATGTCCTTAGGAGAGTTAGGCTCCATATATCCACCTTCCCTAGGGAAAGCCTCCCTAGTACCCTCCCTAGAGAGAGAGGAGGTTCAACAGGGCTATCCCAGTGCCACGAAAGTCATGTCCAGGGGTGACTTTACCATACTATTTACTCTAATTAGTATGAAATCCCACACCAGTGTAATGTGCAAACCTGAATTTCCAGATAACCCATTTTCCAAGTCCTTGTCAATTCAGAGTTCGGTTTTGGGGATCCTGAACAATTCAGACCTGACGCTAAACCAGTACTGAGTTTTCAGAGTACAGCGCATACAGACCCTGTAACCGACTTCCATGGGGTCCGCAGGTTCCCCCGAAATTTCGCCCACGTCACATGCAGAATCCACACTCAGCACGAAATCCCATCAAGTCCAACGTGTACTCTGCCCACAGTGGGCACTTTGCCAGGCAGCGCGGCATAATGCTGCCACGCGAAACCTCTAAGGACCGCAGATTCTGCTCTGACGCTCTTTATGCATACATGAAACTCGGGCCCCAGCCCTATCTGCCAGCCTTGTAGAGGTTGGGCACCTACCCAATTGGCTGCAAATGCAGCCAACACGTCGAAGGCTGCATGATGTTGGGTTGTGCAAGGACAGGCCCGAAAACCGCGTAGCGAGAAAGGTGCGGCACGGGTTTGATGTCTCCCTTCTTCTCCTATTGTTCCTTACTCATCAGTCTGAAACACACTGCTTCATGTTTTGTAGGAGGAGTCCTTTGATCTCCTCATTCTTTGTCTCACAGACGTAGCTATATTCGCATCGTTTAGTTTCCCTCCGTTGTTTCACCTCAAGCCATGCCTAAAACGGGTGGCGCCGACGATGCTCGTTCTGACGGTGACGAGCCATACTGCCGGAAGGAGCCTCCTTAGCACGTAGGAGAGGCTTAGATTTCTTGCGGCCCATCGCCGCATCTGTTCCTCCCCCATCAATCGCCCTAACCGCAGTCGACGAACCACCGCGTGAAGAGCCATCGTTGCCATGTAGTCCTGCATCCACTCCCTATGTTCTCCCACCAGCCATAGCATCTTCTAGCAGAGGGCATGTCGACTGCGCCACCGCGTCAACCGTTTGGTACACCGTGTCGTGCACTTCTGCTGTGTCTTCGGCGAAGAAACAGTGCACGACGAAGTACACGGAACAGTGTATTAACGTTGGTGGCCATATTCGCCCCCGTTCACCACCGCGCTCACCTCCCCCCGTCACCCGCTCTGATGAACCACCGCCACAAAAGCTAAGTACAAAGGAGTTAATCGAGCAGAACTACCTGATCGCTGAAGCTAAAAACAAGAATGATTGGCTTCGTTACTTCCCGTTGCTGATACTTACCTGTACTAAGGATGGGTACCCCGCCCTTAATGCAGTGTTTGCCGAGCCTTCGGCAAGGAGACGACGAAGTACTCGAGCTCAGGCGACGGCGGGCGAGATCTCTAGTCCCGGACGATGTGCATCCACAAAAAATATCCGGTCCATGAAGAAGCGGTTCGCCGATAGTTGGAGATACAGCAAGACATCGACAACAAGCAGCAGAAGATAACGAACTTCGCCACCGAAGATGTTGAGGGTCTTTGCCTCATCCGTCTCTTGCGGTGCGTCGAATTTCTTTGCAAGAGCGATGCTTCCATCGCCATGTTTCCGCGGCTGCTCCATTTCATGGCAAAGCATGACACGCCAAACATTCCTCTCCAGTCATACGGAGTGTATGTGACCAGGTGAGGTTACGTTCTTATCGCTCAACGTCTTTTGAATTCTGTTGTTTGCCATATGTTGACATCAACTAATGGCACGTATCCTAACACGTGACTGTCTAACATCATGCCTCAGCAGGTACATGTTCCAGCAAATGGCCAACTTTCTGTCAACACACCTGCTGGCAACTCAGATGGAGCACATCAAGAGCTCACCCTACCTCGGCATCTCATGTGACGAAAGCAAGCACCGTACGCGAGGGAAGCACCCATCGTCTACATCACCTTCATGCAGCTGCGTCGAGTCGTCACCGAATTCCTTGCCCTGCTTACTGTGGACAAGTGCGATGCAACTTCCCTGATGTCCATTCTCCTAATGCACCGGGAGTCGTCCGGCATCGATCTTCAACGCATGGTCGGCATCAGCACTGACAGAGCGTCAGTGATGGTCGGTCGTGATAACGGCCTTGTGGCGCGCACAGATTCGTTTTCGTGTTTTGTGTCCGTGCGCTAACCAATGTTCTTGTGTATACCTACAGGGTAGCCCTACCTGTCAAGGATGTTGCCGCCTCCTGTCTAGACCACAACATGGTCGATAAGGTTACTCGCACCCTTGCAGACCTTCTCGGCCGGTCAAGCGTCTGGAGCGGACATTTCAAGTAACTCCAGCGCGCGATTCACACCACGAACTTGGAGGTCCAAGGCATCCATCAAGTTCGATGGCTGTCTAGGGGTGAGGCCATCCGACGCCTGTGTAAGATGTTGGCATCCCCTGTATGACGTTGTGACCTCGTATAAGTTTCAGTTCTGCCTCTTCTACCTGGCCAACATGCTCGCATTCATAAACGACCTCAACCTCAAGTTCAAGAACCATAAGAAGAGCTGGTCAAGGCTGCGATGATGGAGTTCTCCTCTGCTATTTGTATTACCTCATCTGCTTCTCTGCAACCATGTGTCCCCCACCGCAAACCGCAGATCGATATGATCGATGTGTCAGCGGACATCGACGAGACGTTGGGGGATCTGCGGCACCATTATATTGAGTGCGGGGAGGTTTTCGGTGCTGGTGCCAAAATCACTTGGTTGTTGGCGTTCCTCACAGTGTATGGACGCGGGGGTCGAAGCGTGTGAAGGTGGGCGGCATCGACAAGGAAGGGAGCCCAGTCACCCACATGTACAAGGTGCACGAGCGGCATCTTGACAAGCACCAATACAGGAGCAGCTACACGGAGTGCACCCTGCTGTGCCAGAAGCACGCGAAGGAGACAATGAGCAACGTACAAGATCGTATGACGATCTGTGGAAGATGTCGCCGATGAAGCTGTGGATGGCGGCGAAGTGGCCTAGACAGCACAGCGCGAGAAGAAAACCAAGGAGTATCTGTTCGGTTGTAGTCGCATCTTCGACCACATGCTGCTCGAAATTCGACTTGAAGGCTGCAAAGATCGAGCTGGCAACGTGGGCGCCGATCATGCAGAACCATCACGAGGTGGAGGGATTCCACCGGGGCCGGGCAAACTACCTCACGAAGACAAACTCGACCAAGTAAGTCCGTGGTTCACGTGTTTAAACTTCACTGCCTTACACTCTACTTGTGTTT